GCATCAAGGCGCCAACTTCACAGGTTAGTACTGGACACAGAGAGAGAGAGAGAGTTCTTCTTCTTCCTCTTCTAAGTCCACCTTCTCTTCTCCCCTCTCGCCACCTGACTTCTCAGACTACGACAGAGAGAGACAGAGTTGCGACTTGAGACTTGACGACATTGGATCCAGACTTGACATTTGGGATTCAGACATTTCGACGAGGGACTATTTGGGCCTGTGTCGAAGACTTGGGTTGACGACATTCCCATCTTCCCCCTCCTCTTCGTCTATCCCCTTCCTCTTCGTCTGTGTATGGTATGGGCTGGCGCTGTCTTCCTGTGTGAAGCACCAGACCCATTCACACCATGTAACGATGATGATGATGTATGTTCAGGGCTGCATTACAACATTGATTGTCCGGATCACTGGTATCTAAGTCTTCCGCTGTGTTATCTTGTACTTTGTATTGAAAGGTCGGTTCTTGTTCTGGTCTGCACGTTACAGTATGCAACAGTGTGTGTGTGTGTCTGTCTGTACTGACCTGCGAAAGGTGGCGCCTTGATGCAGGTACGGACGTGCTGAAGACGGAGCTGGGGCAATGGCATCTCAGGTAAGTCTCAGGTAAGTCCTCCGGCCTCCGCCACTCTCCTCTCCCTAGTGCTACACCCTGGAATCCTAGCAGCGCCCTGCGCTGTTCCGACTACTCCTATCGTCGAATACTGCGGCCGCAGCATCTCCTGAAGAGTGCCGCTACGAATGCCTGAAGACCGAATACCGACCTCCTAGGCGGACCAGCTATATATAGCGCTGGTCCGGCTGGGAGGCTGCCCTCACCAATGCCAAACGGGCACCAGTATCTGCCACCCAAACGGTCTGGCGCCTAAAGTTGGCCCCCAAATTCCAAATAGTCGAATTTGAAAAAAGTGCACCGCGGCCTGGGCCCCTACTGGGTCTCTCCCAGGGTCTGGCACCAAAACAGGTGCCAGGGCCTACCTACTGGGCCTACCGACCTGCCGGACTCCCTAGGCCAAACGACATGGGGCCTGAAAAGGGCCCCTTCCTACTCTGAGATAACACAGGGCCCGAAAGGCCCCTACCGAACCCCTATCCTACCTGGTCGGGCCCTGCAGGGGCCCCCGTGGTACTCAGTATGCCACAACTGGAGAGAGTTTTGTCCTGTGTGCCTGTTCAGTTGTCACTTAAAACAAAGAGCCATTTAGTCCGCACCTGTAGGCTGGACCAGCTGGTCCAGAACACCGCTGAGATTCAGTGTGAGGTCTGAACCAGCGGTCACAGAACCACACCAGGAGGCATTCCGCCCTCTTTTGAACTGTCGATCACTGGTAGATCTCGACAGTCCAGAATGAGCATAGGGTGATGGGCAGGGTGCCCCAGTGCCGTATAGGAACATTGGCCCAGGCACTTCGGTCTTCAATAATTCAGTCATTGGCCTTCTAGCCTTGAAGGTCGCCAGGCTGCTAGAGCGCAGTGCAAGACCTAGAGAAGATGAGCAATATATAGGAGTACAGGCAGAGCACTGGAGGGGTGGGGTGATCGAGGTCTACAAAGGAGGTGATGGTACTACCTGATGGTGCCATAGCCAAAGCTCCCAGTTGAAGCTAGATTGCCGAATAGTGACCTACACGACATCAGCAGCTCATGGCGCCACCTTTCACTGGCCCGTTCTTTCATACACACACACACACACACACACACACAC